TCACTCCATGTGTTGACTTTCAATATATTATTGCATCACCCAACACCTTCAGTTGTATACAGATCGTAGTCAAAATCATGTACAATGGATTTTAGAATTCCAGAGAAATGCTGAAAACAAAAAGGTTTGAAATCCGAACCTGGCCTTCAGGTCATAGTGGTTCACCCCCAAGCCTTTAAGTGCTTGGGTTTGTTGGTCAGGGTTTTGAACCCCACCAATGTCTTGAAAAATCTCAGTCCCCCTTCCCCAAATTGTGCACTGTTTAAAACAGTTTGAAATCCATACCATTTTTGTGGTTTTTTGGCCCTTGTAAGAACTCTTTTACCTTAGAGCAGCAAGAGCGTTGAGAATAAATGGAATGGCTGATCTGTTGGTTCTTCGCAAGTAAAAGTTAATGTTTTTTCCGCTCATCAGGTATAGAACTCGTGTATATGGTACTGGTATATGCATGAGTACTGTGGAACAATAGCGTCATACAAAATAGTTCTCCATTTTGAGAAATGTTAAATTCTCTATTCTGGTTTACTACGAGCTCTTCAACCTCAGCAAAGTGCATGTACTTCAGAACAATGACAAGAGGCCCTGACATGTAACCATTTTTATGACAGCCATTTAGTGGAAAGCATGTTCTTCATATGTCCAGGAGTTGTAAGGCTTCCAGATCCATCACAAAGCATTCAGCAGAATAGAAACTGCAAAAATGCCAGAATAATTAAAAATTTGATTTAGTATTTACTCTGATAAAAATTATAAATCAGTTAAGAAAACAAGATTTAAAAAAAAAAATGAAAAAGAAAAACCAAGTCAAACTTCTGGTTCAGGTTCATACAGTGCAGACATAATTTGATCCCTTTCACAATCCTACAAGCCTTCCTGGAAGATGAGATCCCACTGAAGAAAAAGGGTTCAGTTTGTGCGTCAGACATTTGGCACAGAACCTTGGAGATATTTCAAGCATGGATGAATCACAAGTGCATCAATACAAGTTTGCTGGCCGTGTGTGTGCCATCAACAATGAGAACTAATGCTAAATAATGTTATATACATGCGTCATGCATGACGCTTGTACTGCATAAACATATATTCTCACATAATGTTATATAAATGCACTTGTACTACATGTGTGCTTATCGGATTTCATTGCCCTATTAAATTCAAGGGTTCAAATCAAGGTTGTAAAAAGCAGGCCTCGACGGTGGTGCCATTCCACCTGCACCAGCCTCTAGGCAGAAATCCAATACAGTTTATACCACTCAGGTCAATTAAGTGTGCCCAAGTACAATTAGGTGTGCTTAATGGCATCTCAAGCACCTGAACAAAATTTTTTTAACCTAATGAAAAGATATCATTTAATTTATTATAAAAATTATATTAAAAATAAGTAAATATCAAGTAATTCTCTTAAATTCTGCTTTTTATACATGATAATGAATAGAAAAATGTTTAATTTTTCTTTTTATTTTGTAATTTTTAAAATTGTCTTACATTTTTTCATTTTCTTATAATTATATCAAAAAAATTATAAAAGAAAGAAAAAAACTGTTTTAGCATTGCCTAAACACTTTAAGCTCTAAGTTGAGGGCAACCGTCCACCATTGCCCAGGGCTTTCTACTACCTTGGCTCAAATGAATTCATATTGCAATTATTTGGAACAATGTTAAACCACGAGAATACTTTTTAACAGACAGAGGCCTATAAGAGAAGACACCACTTAATAAGTAAATCTATTATGAACCACAACTATCCCTACAGAGCAGCTACTGTTCAATTTAGCCAAACTAAACAACTAAATAAATTAAACAAAAGCATTTGTACACACAATCCGAAGGAGGATTATGAAAAAAGGAAAAACTGACCTTTATGGTGAAAGATTTTGGTCAACATGCATGCTAGGCTTCCATGGCGGTGTGGCTATGCACCACTCTGTTTTCTCTTTCTTATGCATCAGTTGATAATTGTTATGGGTCTGTTCAAGGTTTCCTTGTGAGTGAGAGTTATAACAATGTAAAAGTTCCAGATGACAAAAAGGTAAGAATGAGCTACTTAAAGATCTGTAAACCCATGAAACTATTGGACTAACTTTTGATTTCAATAGGGTCTCTTATGTGCTAGCTTCCGTTGGGTCAGATGCCTTCCAACAAGGTCTTTCGTTGCCGCAGAATTATATATTAATCGGTAAATCAGACTGACATAAAATAAAATAAATATAATTAATTGGATAAAAGATTGTTGGAAGGAGAAACATGGAAAAGAATTTCAGCACTTACCCCATAATCAGAATCAAACATATCCCCCTACTGTTCCAGAATCAAACATATCCTCTGCTGTGTCTGAACAAATCGAATTGTTGTTGAGATTGGACAGTCCGCCCATCTATTCTGATATTAAGAATGTGCGAAATCTTTTCCCACTCGGGGCAAAGCTCCACGTCTTCAATAATAAGAGATTGCAGGTTGGAGAGGCGTCGCATGGCTACAACGGAAGGCAGACGCAATCTATCACAGCTGATAATATTCAGCTCCCGAAGAGAAGAGAGGGCACCCAACCACTCTGGTAGAACTTCCAAATCACTGAAATCCCTTATCACCAATTCTTTGAGGGCAGTGAGATGTTGCACCTGAGGTGGCAGACACCGAAGCTCATTCCATCCATTCAATGTCAAAGATTCAAGGGATGCATGGAGGTAATGGATCCCAGCAAGTCCTGGAAATTCAAACAACCCCTCCGAGAAAGGACCCATCCTTAACTCTTTCAAGCAGGTGAGGCTAGCCAGCCACTCTCCTGGAATGCTCCTTAGTTTAGAACAATGAGTAATATCAAGAACACTAAGAGAATGCAATTTCCTGAAATCTTCTGGAATAGAAATTAACTCAATGCACGATTCAAGTTTCAACTGCTGAAGAGATGAGAGCCCATCTATCCAAGACGGGCAGCTAGATCCATGGTAATTAATAATACTTAAACTCTTCAAATTTGAGTGAGGTTGAAGACCCTCTAGTACCTCCTCATGCTGGGATTGAAGACCCTCTAGTACCTCCTCATGCTGGGATTCATCATGCTGGTTGAATTCCATACATGGGTTCCATACAAGTACCAACTCGTGTAATTCTGTCTTTTCATTTAGTCTTGCTCTAATAGCTTCTGATTTAGAAGTTACACAATCAAGATTCTGAATCTCCATTTTCCCTCTGAGTTGGCTTAAGCATCCAAGTTCTTCAATTGTGAATCCCTTCTTTGTTCTCACAAAAAATATTGGTAAAGTTTGAAGGGAAGTTAAGTGCCTAATCCCCTCCGGCATAAGGCTCTTTTTATCAAGACAAAGATGCCTCAAGCTATCTAATTTGTTTATATCATCGGGAAGCTTATCAAGATATTTGCATTGCATAACTTTTAAAGTCTGCAACATGTAGAGCTTGGATAAAGATTCTGGTAATGCATGAATGCTGCTTTCTGCGATTTCAAAGTATCTTAAATGCCTTGATTTATCAAGAGAAATTGGCCATTTTTGTATTTGACATCCCTTGAATTTGAGAGATCGCAAGCTTTTGAGATCTGACTCCACTATTAAGAAATCTGAGTCCACTATTAAGAGATCTGACTCCAGATAACAATCATCGAAGAACAAAGAATGCAACCTCTGAGGAAGGGGTCCAAGCACACCAAAACGACAACTATGGATTCTCTCATTTCGAACATTAGAATAGATAATATCGGACTTAGTCTCCCAAATAGAAGTTTCATCTTTCCAAATAGAAGTTTCACCTTTCCAAATAGAAGTTTCACCTGTCGAAACAGAGAGAGCAAGCTGATGCACTAAATAAAGCATTTTGTAAGATTCAACATTCCCACAGGCATCCCTTTTCTCACAGGGGAATAAGGAATTGGACACCAACTCATTTAAGTACTTGTTTCCAATATCCTCCATTGTCATAGAGCTTTCATTAGATTGTTGAAGAAATCCTCCCGCCATCCATAGTTGAATTAAATCATCTTTTCTAATTTCAGAACCTATCGGAAAAATTGAACAATAAGAAAAGCATTTTTTCAACCTTAATGGCATACAATCAAAGAAGCTCTGTTTTAACACAGACAGAATTGATTTTTTCAACCTTAATGGCATACAATCAAAGAAGCTCTGTTTTAACACAGACAGAATTGAATTACTATTTTCTAACTTCCAGTCTACATATCTTGTTATAGCCAACCATTCATCTTCCTTAATACTGTTCATTGCTTCCCCTATGGCAGTCGCAACTAAAGGCAAGCCACCACTTTCTCCTGCAATGTAGTGCAAATCGGGATTTGAAGGTAAACGGAGAACTAGCTTCTTAATTATCATCCAACACTCACCATCTGATAGCCTCTGCATGTCATACCTATACATAGGAAGTTTCTCCACCATAGCTGCTACACCTTCACTACGAGTTGTTAGGACAATAGAGTTCCCATCGGTTTTCACAACTTCTGACAAATTACAGAGAAAATCATTCCACTTGATAGCATCTTTTTCCTGAGCATCATCAAGAATGAGAAGAAAGGTTTTTTTTTCTAATTCTTTGCCTAGATCTTGAAGCAGCCCATGAATTGTATTTGGACGGACATAGCTAATGTTGAAATATTCCAACAGCTCACCCAAAATTCTTTGATCATTAAACTCCTCAGATACACAAACCCAAGCTACTACATCATAGCGCTCTTCTTCCTCCGCCTTCATATAAATTAATCTTGCTACAGTTGTTTTTCCAACACCTGCCACACCTACTATTGAAATGCCAGAGATTGGATGTTTACTCCTCAGTTCATCTAACTGGCTAACCATTTTTGAGACATCATCTTCCCTTCCAACAACTTCCGAACTTTCAAGAATGGGGACTATCTTATGATATGGGCGCCTAGCAGATGCAAGTTTTTGCTTTCTAAATTTGATCTTCAGATTAATAAAGTCTACCTCCTTTCTAATTTCAGCTAAAGATCCATTAATCTCTGATAATTTTCCATCCACCTGCAGACAAAAGGCATCGAGATTGTTGAAGATAGCAGTTTACAGTTATGCTTTTTTAATTTGTAACTGTTCTTTCTAGTTTGCTGCAGTTAGTGTTTATGTTTTCTGGTAATTTTCTTTTGCAAAAACTGCTATGTATGACTTACATATATTTTCAGCAACTCTTATGTCTTTATATATTAAGTGAAATGAGAAAGAGCTCCATATCCGAGAAGCTCTAATTCAGAATTTTCTTAGTTCTTTGTTAAGAGCTTCTGGTTCAGAAACTTACAAAGATTGGAGAGAGAAAAGAAGGTGCGCACCTTTTCGGGCTCCAGCTTCAGGCCTGGCTTCTCATTTTTCATCTCAAGAACACGATAACCACACTCATCCAGTAAATCCACCGCATCATAAACTGCATCTTTGAGCTCCTGCAGCCAAGGCTTTAGGGCCGGATCAATTTCTTGCATTTCCTCAGCGCCTTCGGCAGCAGCTTGAATTTCAGTTAGCAACTGAGCAAGAGCCGCAAACTTCTCCTGCAGACCAGGTGCAAGGCTGGCTAGTGTGAAAGGGGGGATGAGGCCGGTATCAACTTGAATTGCAGTTGCTTTGAACCCGCAAACGTCGCCTTCGGTAACAGCTTGAATTGGAGTAATTGCCTTGGCAATTGTCTGTATAAGAGAGGGGATGAAGATAAGGACGGTATCAGCCATACTATGCACAGCAAACACAATTGAATTCTGAGAGAGAATCTAGAGTTGCGAATCGTGAGGGTAGAAGTAAGAGGGCCGCACCTGCGCTAGTCATATCATAAATAAGGGTGCTTTATTTCAAGGAAATGAAATGTGGATACATTAATTTAGCGTGCATTTCATTTCATTTGGCAGCTTACTACAAAGTTGTCAATTTGGTACTGGTATGGGCACCAATTTTCTTACTGTTACAGTACAGAGAATTTTTACAAAATATTGTTTGGAATTTAT